GAGTGCTGGCAGGAGCCAGCAGCCCATGTTTACTCTGCGGCCCAAGCCAGTGCATCCCATCCCCTTATCTCGGCCGCACCGGGGGCAAAGGGCGATGCGGGGCCTCATAAAGCGCTTGACTGCCAGCACCCAGAGGGGACCTGTCATCACCCTGGGGACCCATGGCACCCCACAGCAGGGCCAGCAACCCGGACCCACACAGCAGAGCAAGGGCCATCCATGGCCGAGGGAGGGCAGCCGGCCCTTCCCCACGCCCCGCTGCCGGAGCTGGCTGTTACCAGGGCCCCGCTGAAGCATTCTCCACTTTGCCGCAGCCCTTTGTTGGCCTTGAAAGGGAAGAGCACGAGGGAAGGTGCAGCGAGCCCCTGCCTTGAGCACTCCAGCCCTGGCAGAGGGCTGAGGAAGGAGGGGGAACCCCTAGCATCCCCCCAGCTTGTGCTCCTCCAGCATCAGCAGCAAGGATGGGGCTCGGCTCAGCCCCAGGGAGACACCGACTGAGGCCAGGCAGAGGCCCATGGGGGCAAGGGAAGCAAGAACCAGGCAGCACCACAATAAAAGTACAAACAGGCTGTATTTCAGCACAGTACCCCACGGTCAAAAGCCTTCCCAGGCCTCAGCTTGCCCCTGGCCCAGGGAGGAGGGGGCAGCCCTGAGCCAGGGCTGGGGGCAATGCCAAGGTGAGGAGGAGCCATGGGGGAGCTGAGGTGCCAGGGCTGGAGCCCTCCTCATCACCCAGGGGAGTGCAGGGGCTGCTTTCTGCCCACATCCAGGGCTGGTGCTGGGTTTTGGGGTGCCTGGCAGGGCCCAAGCTGCTGGAAAGGGCCAAAACAAGCTGCAGCAAGTGCAGAAACACCCAGGGGTGGCTCTGGCCCCAGAGGGGAGGGGCAGCAGCAATGGTGGGAGGGCAGGAGTGGCAGAGGGGCACACACTAGGGACAGAGGCTGCAGGACCAGCACTGTCCCAGAGCAGGAAGCTCCCCCCTCCCCATCCCTGCCCCAAAGCCAAGGGGTGTCTCCCCACATGTGAGTTGGGGTTAAAGTGGCCAGGGGAGCCACGAAAGAGCAAGAGGCAGCAGCTTCTCCACGGGAGCCCTGTTACTGCACAGCCGAGCAGGGCTGGTGGGCCAGAGACGCAAGTTTCTGCCCCAGGACTCAGCCCAACCCAGCCAGCAGGAGCACGGGGCAGGGGGGACAGGGCCCTGGGAGCAGGAGGGAGCCCCTCCACATCCCCTCCACCCCCCACACAGGCCCTGCAGCAGGGCCAGGGCCCAGACATCCCAGGCTGGGTGGGTAAGACGACAGAGGCAACGTGCCACAGCAGACGACAGTGCCCAGCTCAGCAGGGCACTTCTGCTCCCCCCGGCACACTCCAGCCTTCACCCAACCCTCAGGGAGAGCCTATGCCAGGAGCCAGAACCAGGGGTGTGTTTTGATCCCTCCGAGAAGCGGAGGAAGGGGTGAGGAGAGGAGGCAGCGGATGTGGGAAGGCAGCAGCAGGCAGGAGAGCTGGGGCAGCACGGCCGTGCTGGTGCTCCAGGCACTGTGATGCCTGCACAGACTGACCCAGTCCTTCTCCATGCTTCCCACAGAAGGCGATCCCCAGCTCCCAGGGGCCGGGGGCACGTCTCCACTGGGCAGCATTGCCCCGTGTCACGTCTGCGCCAGCGAGAGCTCCTCCAGGCCTTCCTTCCCCAGCCGGTACCTGGCGAGATCCTTGCGGGTGACCATGCCCACCACCTGCCGGAAAAGGGACAGGGTACAGCCCCACGCTGGCACACAGAGTTTGGGGACAAGGGCAGCGTGTGTCCCCTCCCTCCATCCCGAGGGGCCCAGGCTGCTTGCACACAGCAAGCAGGGACTCACCTCATTTCGATTGTCCACAACCACCAAGTGCCGCAGTCCCAAGGCTCGGCAGAGCTTGAACACTCGTGGCAGAGACGCCTCCTGCAAGGCAGAGCAGGACTGGGTGGGCTGCGACAACCCCAGCTGGCAGCCATCACCCACCACGGCCCCCCGAGTGGGACCTGGAGGGGTCCCTGGCCATTACCTGAGGCACGGTGTAGGGCGAGGGGTTCATGAACTCGCTGAGGTCGATCATGCACTCGCGCTCGTCCTGGGAGACGTGGATGGACTGGATGGGGGGGAAGCGGGGGTAGGCATCCCGAAAATCCTTCAGCTTCAGCCGCCGCTGTACCAGGCTCAGGTTGGCCCTTTCCACAAAAACCTGAGGAAGAAAAGGACCATCAGGGACCATCCCACAGCACCAACAGGTACCAGGGCAATGCACAGGAGCCGGGAGGGAAGAGGGCAGGAGCGTGGGGCAGATGGACCATCTGCAGAACAGCCTGTTTCCCAGTCACTCAGGGTCTGAAGGCCCAGTGGGGCGCAGGATGGTGCTGGGGTAACCCCAGCACGGTACAGCAGCCCCCACGGTCGCCTTGGGTGAGCTGAGGGAGACAACAGGGACCCTCTGCCAGCTCCTCCTGAACAAGGCAGGCAGCAAAGGACCTGAGGCAGCAGTAGGACAGGGGCACCAGGACTGAGACACAGCCCAAAGAGCCTCCATGCAGCATCACACACCTTGTGCTTCAGCAGCTGGGAACGCAGGATCAAACCCCGCAGTCCTGCCACCTACAACAGAGCGCCGTGCATGAGACGGGGCTGGGAAGTGGGGGCAACGGGAAGAGTCCCATACCATGGCCAGCCCTTGCATGGCCGACCCCCAGCTGCGCCCCCTTGCAAGAGGCACTCAGCCCACCTGCGTGGCGTCAGGGTTGCTCTCCACCACCGGGAAGCCGTTGTGGTTGGAGGAGGTGTCGCTGAGGATGTCCACAACCGTGCCCACCCGCTCGATCCGCCGCAGGCAAGTGACAGGAGTGCTCATGACCTCCCTGCAAGGAAGGCTTGGTATGAAACACAGCCCCGCACAGCAACACACCCCAGATATTCCCCCCAGCACACATGCCTCCTGTCCCCAAAACCTGCCAGTGACATGCACTGCAGGCCACAATCCCTGCTGGGGAAGGAGCTGGGCTGGTGGCACCAGGGGACAACGAGTGTCACCACCTCCGCTTCCTGCTCAGGCCAACAGCATGGTCTAAAAGCTGCTGCCCCAAGTGTGACAGGTATCCCCCCAGCCCACCTACCTGGCTGTGAGGGAGTGGGATGTCACCGGAGCCTCCCAGTGCAGGAAGGGCACACTCTGCAGCTGGATGTGCATGTCATAGAGCCCCTGCAATGACAGCCGAACCATCAGAAGCCTGGTGAGATGCTGAGGGCTACAGCCGGGCAGCAGCTCCCCTCTGAGGGAGCACACGCTTGCCCTGGCCTCCCTGCATCCCTAACCCCAACCCACAGCCTTTCACTGGGTCCCAGGCTCCCGGTGAGCACACCAGCCCTCACCTCCACAAAATAGTCTCCCACAATCTTCGCTGTCATCAGCACCAGCATGATGGGGAAGCCATAGGTGACATTGCCCGTCGCCTCCATCATGATGACCGTGAGGCTCAGTGTCATCCGCACTATCCCACCTGCAAGAGGCACACAAGAGGTTTGGGGGTGTAGGGGGGCAGGAAAACATGGGGCGAGGGGACAGCAAAGCACCTGAAGCCCCTGAGGCTCTGCACAGCAATGCAGGACCAGCCACATGGGCAGGGGTGCCTTGGATGAGCCCAGCCCTTGCTCATGCCCCAGCAAAGCTGACGGCCAGGCTGGGCATGGACCACTTTTTCCCATGCCACCTTTACCCCGACGTGAGCAGGAGTTGGCCAAGACTGCGCCATGGGGAACTCACCTAGCTGTGCAGCAGCTCCCATCAGGGCGTACTTCCCAGGGTCAGCCCAGATCTGAGCACCAGAGAGAGAAGAGGCAGTCAGTTGCTGGCTCCTGGGCATCCAGAGACAGCGAGCAATGCCCTGACCCCCAAACCCTCCTCCAAAGTGGAGAGGAGTGCCTGAGGTTGCCTGCACAGCCCAGCTGCTGGCAGGGCTCCGCTGGGATGTGGGAAAGCCCAGACCCAGCTCAGGAAGACCTCAAGCGAGGAGCCAACTCACTCCAGACAGCTGTGCCAAGCTCGTAGCCAGCTCTGTGCACACTGCCTGTATGTGCTGCTTGCCCAGTGGCGAGGGAAGAGGGCTGGATGCCACGGCTCCTGCTGCACGACATCCCTTCCCACCAAGGACTCACCGAGCCTTTGGTCAGGTAGGACAGGGAGATGCCGAAGAGCCTCCCCCAGGCAGCGCCGATCAGCAGGGAGGGGATGAAGACCCCTGCGGACACCGTGAGGCCGTAGGTCCAGCAGGCCAGGAAGAAATACATCAGGGTGAACATACCCAGCGTCATAGGGTTGTAGGAACCTGAGTTGGAGAGAGAGGATGGAGAGTTAGTGCTGGTCCTGCAGCCCAGAGGACACCATGATGGGCCGCAGCCACGGGAGAACAGAGAGCAGCAGCCCTGCAACACACTCCCAGAAGTGAAAGCCCCTCTCGTAGGGTGCACCTTCTTCCCAACACTCTCCCTGGCAGCACGAGCCTTTCAAACCTGCTCTTTAGGTTATTTCTTTGCCCTCAAGGGCCCCACCAGCTGACTGGTGCCATCCCAAGCCCTCCCATCCCACCAAGTCCAGCACATGCCTTTCCTCCATCTCAGGACCCATGATGACCCGTTCCCTCCCAGCCCCGCAGTTCCCAGCCTCTCACGAGGCGGCATGACGGAATTCAGATCCCCGAGGGATCACCAGTGCTGGAGGACGAGGCCAGGAGGACAGAGGTGCCATGGAACTGGCAAGTCCTAACCCCAGCTTCAGGACTGACTCGGCAGAGTACGTCCTGCAAACCCCCTCCTGTCCCACAGCTCCCACGGCTGCTCCAGCCAGCCCCAAGCTGCCCCACGGCAGAGGCTGTGCCATCACAGTGAGTCCCTGCTATCCCCCAGGGCTCAGCCTACTGCTATTTTAGGACTACTGAGCAGCTCAGTCTAATTTAAACAAGTACTTCGCAACTTCTCTTTCACAGAGAGGTCAACGGAGCAAAGCCCTGAGCCAGGGAGGACCCAGCACTGCGGGAAGCAGCCCCGAGACACAGGATGGTCATCACTTGGCATCAGGTGGCCAAGTTACACTCTCTGGGCTGAGGGTCTAGAAGTTTGGAGCTGTCTGCTTGCTGCCCACAAAACTCAGACCAGCTGGCAGAGTGCATGCTGTCGTTACACTGGGTCCAAGGGAAATGGGAGCTGGAATCTGGGAGCCAAATCTCACTTCTCAAGCAAATCCAAAATCCACCTCCGCAACCTGTCCAGAAGGTAAAGTCATTCAGGGGCAAGAGGCCCCACTAAGTAAGAAAACAGCCTGGGATGTTTCCAGGAAAGACTCCAGCCAGCGAGGGTCAGACACGCTCCCACACAACACAGAAGTGACAGCTTGCAAACACACCCAAACAAAACCAGGTCCTCGCCCACAGGCTCCTGAGGCTACAGCCCTTTGGCCAAGCTCATAGGTGCCGCCAGGCGCAGCATCCATCCATCCCTCCTTCCACCAGTACAGGAAAGGAGCAGGCACAGTGCTCTGCCAGATGCCACTGTGCCCACGCGGGGCCGTGCTGACACCCCCACCTCATCCCACGAGCAGCCAGGGAATGTGTGTCAGCCACCACATGCAAGCTCGGCCCTGCTCTGCTCACGTTCAAGGACCCGTTTCCTGGGCACACGGACCTGGAGGGTCATGGAAGAGGTTGACAACGCTCTTCTCGGGCGTGTTGAAGAAGGCAGTGGCCATGGAGTTGTACTCTCCATCAGCGCAGAAAAGCTGAGGGGGAAGAACAGAGAGAGAAGTGGCAGATCTGGGCTGCCCCGCAGCAGGGAAGGCTGCCAGGCTTGGGGGACAGGCGCTGGCGAGAAGGCAGTTTCGGGCAGCAAGCACACCAACACGGCGCTTGGGTCGCCAGCTCTGCCCAGGGTGGAGGGTGTTGAATGCAAGATCCAGTGCGACAAAACTCTGCAGGGTCTTGTCTCCCAGCTCAGCCCTCTACCTCCCCCCAGGCTCAGGGTGTCCCAGAACCCTGGGGCCCTTCTCCAGCATCTCCTACCTGCAGGGGATATGCCACGGTGCTCCCCTGGATGGGCTGGCAGTCTCTCGAGCAGTAAATCATGACGAACCCCACGGTCGCCGTCACTGCTGCCACCAGCATGGCCTCAACCACCTGGAGGCAGGGCCGGTGGATATACCTGCGAGAGGAGCGAGGATGGCACCCAGGGGTGAGGGCAAGATCACCCGTGGCCTGGCTCAGGACATCCCATCAGGTATACAGACAGGTTGGCTCCCTCTGCTCTCATTCCAGAGCCCTGCCAGGCTGTCCTGCACCCTGTCCTCCGGAGAAGGTGTTGTGGGGAGCTGGGGGGAGGCCAGTGGCAAGCGCAGCTTTGCCCACTCAGCTCCACCTCCCCTGCACGAAGCCAGGCACAGGTCCCATGGAAAGGTTGGTGTGATCGGGCTGGGCAGACAGCGCAGAGCCAGGCCCAGAAAGCTGGAGCTTGCGAAGCTCCGAGAGGAGCGATGCCCTGGAAGCTGCTGCCAGCCCCTCACAGCTCCACCACCACAGGTCATCCCTCCCCGAGACCGCGGGCCAATCCTGGGGTTTGGAAAGCTGGTGACAGGCATTGGCTGTGCCAGACTGGGCTGCGATGGCTTTAGCAGCTCTCTCAGATGCACCCAACACTCAGGTCTGCACAGTGTTTGCACTTCTTTGGCTCCTCAAGTCACCAAAGGGAAATACTTAGCAGGGTCAGAGCGACAGAGGGATGCTGCAGGTCACGGCCTCAACTGCAGGCAGCCAGGGGCACGCGGTGTCTTTACCTCCCAGCTTCCAAGGGCTGTGAGATCACAGCCTTACTCTGGCTGGGAATGCTGCTTCAAGGGAGTGCAGAATGCACCAGTCAATCACCTTTGCCACCCACAAGCTCTTACCTGATCCGGAACATCGTTAACCAGTAATTGAGGGCGTTGAACAGGGCCCCGAGGATCCCGCCTGCAAATGCAAAAGGGAAGAAGCTCGGCGCACAGGTCCCAGGCTCTCCTACAGCTGCCCAGGACACAAGGAAGCCAGGAAGCTCATGGAGATGTCCACAACCCACCCAGTGTGACCAGCAGCCCTGGGACACAGGCAAGCTGTCCCTGCAGAGACAGCCAGGACCTGACATCCAAGAGGAGCCCAGCACCGGTAGTGGGTTGAGCAGGGTCACAGCACGGGCACCACACAGGTGAGGGACAGGCCAACAGATGCCCGGGTGGCCGCAGAGCTGGGTGAGCATGCTGGGGAGTGTGCCCAATGTGCTCCACGTCCCCTTCCCATGGGGCTAGCAGCAGCTTGAAAGCAAGGGGCTGCCCACAACTATGATGCACTGACCCCACTCAACAACTTTGCAGTACACAGATTAAAGGGTTTTGACTTTGCTACAAGGGTGAGGGTTGGGCCGAGATCCAGCTCTCACCCCCATATAAGCCCCACAAGCATCCTCTGTTCCAGAGTTTAATGGATTTCCCAGTCTCCCCAGGAAACTGGATCCCAAACCTTTTTAGACCAAGACAGAGAAGAGAGGAAATTATTCAGACTAATAAAATTGAAAGAGCAGCACTCTTACCAACCACTCCCATAAAGATGAAGATAGGAATTTCCTGGATTGTGTATCCCATTTTCTGCAAACAAGAAAGAAACAGGTTTCAGATCTCCTGGTCCATCTGCAGCCCCACAGCCGGTCACTGCTGGGACAGCACCAGCCTGTGCTGGTGAGTGGCTCCCAGAGCGGCTCCGAAGTCTCCCCCACTCACCCCGCAGCCCCCAGACCCACCAGTGGGTACAGAAACACCTTCTGCTGGGGTTGGTGGAGCTGGGATCTGGCGAGACCCCAGAGCCTGCTCAGGCTGAGCCCACCTCAGCCCCAGCGATGTTTTAAGACAGAGTGGTGGCCCAGACTGCTGTGGACTGCTTCTAACCCTCGCAACAGACCCCTACAAAGGAAATATCTGTGCCATACCTCGTTATCAAACCTGCCAAAGTTGATGAGGCCAGGGCTGGAGAGATCCCAAGCATTGCCATGGTAAACGCTCAGGACAGAGTTCAGAGTGAACGTAGAGATCATGGAGGCAAAGAACTGGAAGAAGATACAGCGCAGTCACTGCCAGACACCTCAAGCCACACTCCCTCACCATGTACACCCTCCCACACCGCACTACCCCAACCCACCCCCTGTGGCCCCTGGGTAGGGCTTAGTACCCCCAGTGTGGCAGGGCCTTGTTCCCTGTGGCAGAAAACTGGGCAGCTTCCACCGACTGCCTCCTTTTGCCTCTCTGTTGCCCTGGGGCACAGCCCAAGGCAGCTCGATTGGAAAGGGGGAGCTCAGCCACATCCAAATTCAGGCTCTGAGGACCAGGGCACAGAAGGGAAGTTGGGATGCTGTTCCTTGGGATGTTACACATGCTGCCTGGCTGGGGCAGGAATGGCAGGAGGCCTGGGGCTGCAAGGCATCAGGAAAAGGCAGCCCTTGACTTACTGCTCACACTTTCCAGCACTTACGATTCTCCATGTCAGGAACTGATTCCAGAAGGAAGCCCCTTCCTCCAAGCTGAAGAGGACACCCCCTGCAAGTGGAAGACACAAACACTTTCACAAGGGGCATGTGCCACAGACCTTTGGCTCACAGCACCAGCCAAGGCACCCAAATTCATCCCAGCCCATGTGCCCCACACTGCCCCAGAGCTCACAGGCTCCAGCAAAGGACCAGCAAGCCCACCAAGCCATCAGTGATGTGCTGATGTCAGTGAAGACCCTCCACCGCCCTCCTCCACCACAGAAAGGGGTCCAAGACAGATGACCCCCCCCTTTTCCCCTCTTCCCGACCTGTGTGGTATGACAGGACAGTGTGAAGTAGGGTCAGGCTAGGAAGACTCCTGCAGTGCCTTAAGCAGATCCTGGCAGCTCCCTCCATGCAAGTGAGAGCAGCCTCCTGACAACATCCACGTGCAGGCACTGCTCAGTGTCAGAGAGCCAAGACACGCACCCACGGGAGCACCAAATGCAGCAGAGACGCCAGCAGCAGCTCCAGCCGAGACAAAGTCCCTCTTTTCTGTGTCTCTGCGGAAGTACTCAAAGATCTGAAACACCAAAACGAAGGCAGGCTCAGGGCTGGCCACAGGCACGAGTTGGGGGAGACACAGGGTATGCCATGATGACCCCAAGGCACTGGCGTGACCCCAGTTTGGGCACAGAAGGGGCACCTGCAGCACAGCCCCTTGGTCCTCGACACCAACCTTGAAGTCTCGCTTTAAAGACGTGGATCTTCCCTGGGAGATCCCGGCAGCAATCACCGCTCCGGAGTGAATCATAGGTCCTTCCTGCGGGCAGGAGAGCAGAGTCAGACTGGAGAAGGAAGAATGCCAGGGACAGTCGGGGACGCTTGGATGCTGCTCACCAGCTTGCAGCCCTGCAGAAGCTGACAGCAGTGCTCAGGCACACAGGGCCACATCTCTGCAGCTTGCTGCTTCCCCCCCTAAATCCTCATTCTAGCAAGTGGCTCCTGCGGTCACCTCCCATTCCCAGCAGAGCTCCCCTCCAGCCAAGGGGAACAGGGGCTTGCAATGGCCGCCTGTGGCCCCAGCAGGCTAGCAAGGTCCCAATGGGGCACCCAAGCCTTCCCCACCTAACATGCACAGGGTCAGCCACCGACGGATATAGGCTGCTCGCACAGTCTGGCTCAGTGGCACTGTGCACCCCAAGGGCTGGCATCACACACCCCGGGGGCTCCCCAGGCCTGGCCACATCACCTTGGCCAGCACCACCAGGCCACCAGCACCCCGTTCCCGGCACAAGGCCGGCGACAGGCTGTTTTTTTGTAACAAGGTGCCAAGAGCATGCCGGAGAGCGCTTTGTGTACATCACCTTGCCAACAGCCAGGCCACCGACCACCGAGAGGATGACCCCGCAGACTTTGATCAGCAGGGTCTGCAAAACAGAGATGACAGGCACATCATATCACAAGGGTGGGACGAGGGACACGACCACACGAGACACAGACCCAGCCAGTCGCAGGTGCCAGTGACACCGGGGAACTTGTGATTCTCACCCCTGCCTTGTGGTAATGGGGTTGGCTGACTTTTTTCTTGACCAGAGCAAAAACCCCCCCAAAACTGCTCTTCTGAGTACCAGCTGCCAATCCCAGGGCAGGTTTAACTGCCCTGCACCGGCAGGTAACAGCTGCGGAGCCAGGCAGTGCAGCAGGGCAGCCGGAAGCCTGCGCCAGCTCCCCCTCTGCCGCAGCACGGGCAGGGACCATCCCAGCAGGACACAACACACCCGGGCCAGCCCAGCAGAGAGGGCCCCATCACAAGCAGAAAGCACGATCCCACCACCTCCTGCTTCCTACCTTGAGGCGGACAACATGCGGGATCTTCACACCGTTGAGATAGCACTTGATCTGGGGAATGCCGCTGCCGGCTGCGACGGGCTGCGGGGAGCAGGGAGAGTGTTAGTGGCTGCCATACACAGGGTGAGGACACACCAGCCACCTTACCCCCGTCCCTCAGCACAGGGCACACTGAGCACACCCTTGGGCAGGCTCAGAGGTGAAACCAAAGCTCTGAGGGTGAGCTTGAGAGAGGCACCCACTGTCCCCAGGGACCAACGTGTCAGGGAGAAAGAGCTGGCTGGGTTCTTGGGGGACACCAGGGTGTCCCCACCACGTGCCACGGCAGGAGGCTCACACTTGGGGGCTAGGGAGAGCAAGGGCAAAGCCACAAGGAAGACACTGCTGCCTCAGCAGTGGCCTGTGGGCAGCCATAGCCCCCCTCCCAGCCATAACCTGCCCCCAAGGCACCCAACCAGCCTGCTCTCTGCAGGCACTCACGTACACCCAATGCAGAGAGGCTGAGCCGGGGCCAAGGCTTGTGAGAGCTGCACCCACGGCTGGAGCACACCCTCTGCCCCAGGCTGCCAGCGAAGAGCAGCACGTTGTGCCAGTCTGAACTCCAGGAGAAGCTCGGCAGCACAGCTGGAGCCAACAAGGAAGAACTGGGGCTGCCAAGAGCCAATTTGGCAGAACCATATTTGCTGTTACACAAATTTGTGTGTTTTCTGGAGGCATGATCCTGCTTCCTTCACATAAGGAGTTGGGCAAAAGGCACGGGAGTACCCTACCCAGGCCACCTCCAAACTCTTACCTCTATGAAAGCAACGATCACGGAGCCCACCATCACCACGCTGGCATTCAGGGTGGCCCAGAGTAACAGGGAGAAAGACAGTCCCCCTTTCTCTGTGAACTTGTCGATGTCTGGGGAGGCGGCTCAAGGAAAGACCGTATCAGTTGGGTACCCTCCCTCCCACCATGAAAACACATTGCTAAAACGCTTCTTGGGCTGTGGCGGCGTGGCAGATCCTGTGACTGCGCACAGCCAGGGCTGCTGCGAGGAGCCTCCTCCGTTACGGCAGTGTCTGGCCACAGCTCAGCACCGCAGAGCGACTGGGCAGCACCTGGGGCGACAGGGTCTGTGCGGCGGAACCCAGGCCGGGAAGCACTGCCCGCTCCCTCCACACCCCTCTCGCAGCTACCAGGAGCGGAGACGCCGCAGCTCCTGGCCGGCCGGTGGCCATGGCTCCATGGGAGGATACTGCCCTTCACCACGTGGTACTTCAGCCCAGCCAGGTTCTCCACCACGATGTCGATGAAGCAGGCAACGAGGCCGGTGAGGATGCCGATCATGGCACAGATGACCCAGCGCTTGATCTCCACCGTCCGGAAAGCCTGAAGGACAGACAGCCATCAGAGCCCACTGCCACCCAGCCCAGCCCCAGCAGCATTGGGGGGAACTCCAACACACCTGGCCACCTTCCCCAACACAGCCCCAAGCCTGCGCAGCTCCAAGGAGAGATGCCCAGGGAAAATCGAAGCCGGCTGACCCAGGCTTGCAAAGTCTGGCCACAATTTACTTATTTTAAGCCAGTGTCCTTGCCCCTCTGTGGGATCCTTAACAGTCATTCTTCCAGCTCGTCTGCCTCCATCAGACCCCTTCTGTTAGGTTTCTTGCTGCAGCACTGCCTCCCAAAGCCCCCAGGGCAGATGCTTCCCACGGCTCCAGAAGTCCCTCTGCCCCAGGACCTGCCCTGCACTTCCCAGCGATCCCACCACACACACCCAGGCCAGCTCCCATTCAAACCATCCTACGCTGCTCCTTGCTCCTGAGCTTTTACAGCTTGTCACAGTCTGGTCAGTGCCCCCAAGCCACCCCCGGGCTCAAGTGCTGCTCTGAGCGTGACTTTCCGCAGCACAGAGGAGCCCCTCAGCAGCCGGGCAGGGGGAACAGCTTCCCTTGGCCACGCTGGCTGTGGGCACTGTGGGCAGCCAGGTCACAAGACGACTCACCGTGTGGTTTATCCTCCTCTCCTCCTCCAGGAACAGCTGGTTTTCACTGTTGTCATAGTCCAGGCTCTGGTTCAGTAAGGGGAGATGCCATTACTGTGTAGCACAGGGAAGAGACACCCGTGCCTGGGAGGGCTGGCCTCAGACCCTCGCCCCTCCACACCCCTGTATCTTTTTCCTCCCTCAATCCCACCCCTTCCCTGCTGAAACCCCGCCAGCTGGGCGGCCACAAGCCCTCACCCCACGTACCTCACCCCCTGCATTGCAGGGGGCAGAGCCAAGGGAGGGAGATGGGCGCTTACCTCATATTTGAGCGACAGGAGCTTCTCATTGTGGGGGATCTCGTTGGGATGCTGCCGAGGGAGGTCTGTCTCCTGCAGGACACAACACACAGGTTAGGAGGGTCAGGTCTGACTCCAACCCTCCTCTCTGCCCCATAACTGCTGGATTAATGCTGGGTGTCATGCTCAGGAGAGGTGGGGAGGGCTGCAGAGACCCAAGTCCTAGTGCAAGGTGCCCAGCAGGCTGGGATCCAGAGTGGTTTTCCACCCACTGGTGGATATATGGGATTTAAGGCCATCAGGCATGCACCTCACCCACCGCCTCTTTTCCCCGGGCAGGACGTTTCCCCACACCATACACAGATGGAGGGTTTGCCCAGTTGGGTACCACGCTGCCATGTGGATCCAGCGCTGCCTCCAAGCAGCTCCCTGCTCTGGCAGAGGGCGACCTTCCACCCCAGCAGGAAATTCCTTCAGCTGAAAGCAAGGAGCTATTTCAAGCAGGCCTGCGTTTCTGGACAGAAACCAAATTCTGTTTCCCAAACACCTTTGACCGTGCAAGCTGGTCCCAGCTCCGAATTAGGGCATTTATCAAGGATGATGGAGGGGCCCTGGGACAGCAGCACCCCGCACTCTTCCCTGGCCCTGCATTACAGCTGTGGCCAAAGCCAGCCCAGCCTTTCCTCTGAGGGGCTGGATTATATTATATTTCTTCCCATTTGAGAATTCCACAGTATTTAGGCAAAAGACTTTTTCCCATTTGCTCTTCCTACAGCTCCAGAGCTGAGGAAGGAGCATCTGGGGAAAAAACGCTCCTCAGAAGCACATGGAGGGGGAATAACTTGAAATTTGAGAGTTTTCCCAAGATGCCCCATCTGTCAATAACCCCATACTGCAACATCTTCCCCCAGCAGCATTCCCACTACAGATCCCCCCCCTTGCCTTCGCACTGAACAGGGCAGTAAGCAAGAGATGCAGCTCGGAGCTCTCCCCACAAGACAGAAATCCCTTCCCATGCCACTAGATTCTAAGTTTGCTCCCACGGGAGAAAGGTTCCTGTGCTGATGGGTTGGTGCTGCCACCCGGAGAGGTGCAGGGGACCAAAATGTTCTGGGGCCAGCACTGCGGCTACGAGGAAGCAGCAAGGGTTGAGGCAGAGAGGCAGACCGTGCCACAGAGGTCACCCAGCCCAGGAGGAAGCACTGGAGCCCTTGTGGGACAAGCAGCATGTGAGGGAGTGGAACAAAAGCAGCTGCTAGTGCTGTTGGTGGAAGAAGGGAAGTGGTCTCTGCGATGGTGGGTCCCTTCCCTTGCCACTCACCAGCTCACGGATGTCTTCGTTGAGGTCCACATTGCTCAGCTGCCCAATGCGCAGGAAGGAGGAGGAAGTGAGCTGAGGACAGAAGGGAAAACGAGGTCAATTCCCCAAAGTGCGGCCAGCCTAGGCAGAAGGAAGGAGCAGGCTCATGCCTGCTCGTGCTCTGTCCTCCTTGCCGAGCTCTGCCTGCCTGCCCGCCCACGGCTAGAGCTCCCCTGAAGCACAGCACCCATGGATGGCTGCTCTCCAAGGACACACCGAGGAGACAGGATGTGTCACCCCAGAGGGAGCGCAAGGCGGCAGCCTGCCAGGGTTTGGGCAAGCTGCTCCAACCCAGGGAAGGCGCCAGCCAGCGGCAGCTCATTCGGGACAGGCAGCCAGCAGCCCTGAGAGTGGGAGAGTCACCCACAGCCTCCAGCCAAGGAGCATGGCACCCCAGCACCCCGACACAGAAACTATGCAGCCAGCAAACCTGTGCTGAGCAGCACATTCCACACTCCCCTGGAGCTGGGGAGGGACAGACTGCCCGAAGAGAAAGCGTCCTCTCCATGAACACATGCACACCTGCCAGGGCCATCCCGCAGCCAGCACACCCGGCCAGCGACAAGGGATGGCCGAGGGCACGTTTGGCTCTGTCATCCCCTCATGAGGGAGCCCCCAAGCAAGGAGACAAGCACATCAGCATGCTCATCTCCCTCCGAGCACCCAGGACTGAAGCGATGGCTGGGCTGGCTGCCAGCCGGCAGGCACAAGAGGAACCGGGGCACGTTCTCCTGCGCGGCCTTGGGGACATCAGCACCATTTCAAGCCGGTCCCAGTACAACGCTCGGAAGCAGAGTTTGCGTCTCCTTCTGGGAAGGCAGGTTCTCCTTTTGCTGGTGGCCACTCAGGCTTGCAACTGGCAACGCAATTGCGTAACACAGGAGTTTAGGGGCTTTTTGGGGCACCTCTCATCCCTTGGCCAGTGCAGGCGAGGGCTTGGGCTGCGGCTGAGCCAGCCTCCAGCCGGGCAGTGCCACAAGAGGAGCCAGCAAGAGCAGGCAAGCTGCCGTCACCCCTCCAACCTTGTGAAACACAGGGATGCACAAGGGCATGAGCAGCACCAACACTAGGCACAGCCCAAACACCACTTCTCAACATTAAGATCTTCCCCTCGGAGGCCTCACCGCTCTGCCAGCCCTCCTTCCCAGCTGCCAGGGTAAAGGACAGGAGAATAAATGAGCGATGGTGAGCAACAGCGGGGCCCTGGCATGTCGGTCCTGCTTTGCTGGGGCTGGCAGATCCCAGATGGAGGCCCCAGTGCTTTAATCCCCACCAATCCCGTCTGGAACGTGCAGGCCAGAGCTGCTGGGAGCCGAGCACGTCACCGCAGAGGAAGAATATCCCTTTGTGTTTACAGCCTGACCTATTTTCCCATTTCTCCGTCTGCTCGTGACCCGCCGGCAGATTCTGCCCCAGCTTCTCAAACCCTCTTCCATGCCCTTTTGTCTCCAACAGCCTGAGCTCACAGGAGGGGCTGAGTACAAAGTGCTCCATACGCAGCTGTTTCAGACACTGGTTTGGTGAGCCCAGCCTGGGCTTTGGTTCTGGTCCATGATGGCTCCACAATCCCCTAGGAAAGGATCCAGGTAGATCATCTTCCTGGTAGTCAGAGCAGATCACTGCAGGCTCCTGTGAGCTGGGGACATCCAAAGCTGTCACCTCCCCATGGTAACAGGGATGAGAACTTAGAGAGTCATGAGCTGGAGGCAGGAACTGCCCATTTCAGTGCTCACTGGTGCCCAGCTGCTCTGGTGGCAGGGGGGTCCCAGCCATGTCCCCACCATCCTGGTAGGGGAAAAAGCAGGGTCCTTGCCCTGAAACGCTGGGAGGGACTGAGCTGAGACCTTGCAAAGGAAAGCACCTCTGCCTGGCTTCAGGAAGCTCAAAGATTTAAGGCTCCCGTTAGATGCCGCACATCCAGGGCAAGATCAAGGCAACGAGCTGGGAACGGGCACTGGCGCCACATCCCCTGCTCACGCCTGGTCTCAGAGCTGAGACAAGACCAGCCCCTCAGGGAGAACCTAATCATGGGGGTCTGCAGAAAGACAAAATGGGACTGAAACAGTGACATGTGCCTCTACACCCCTTCCCTATGGAGCAGGCAGCGACAGCACGGCAGCTCTGCTCCCAACAGATTAGGTGGCAGTAGGACCCAAGCACAGACAAAGGGAAAGGAGCTGCTGTTGGACGTGAAGCTGAACTTCATTAGGTAAGCAGCATGTTTTCAATATGTGCCACCTCCCCCTAAGTCCTGGCATCCCTCCAGCATCCAGACATGCCGAGTCTCTCCGTGAGCAGAGGGTTCCCATCTCATCTCGTGTGGGGATCACATGTCAGAAGGAGAGGAAAAAGCTACTTCCATCAGAACCCAACTTTTGTAAGAGAGACGGGAGAGGATTCAGGCAGCCAGGAGCCAAGACAGACGGTTATTTGTGCACAGCTCAAAGACTGACTGAGCACATGGACAGCACTACCCTCCTTTGGATGTTTTTCAACCGCAGGCTAAGACAGCTGCTGATCCCAGGCACATATGATGTTGGTGCGATCATGGTAGGATTATCTCCACATAACAAGAGGCACTGTTGCCAAAACCCAGAGGATGCAGAGGGCTTAACAGCTCTCCTGTCCCAGGAGAGGCTCTCGGGCTCCTGAGCCTACCTCCGACAGTGGCACACAAACAGCAGTGGCACCCAGCCCTCGGCACTTGCCCCACTTGGGTGATAAAGCTAATTCCTTACCAATTTTGAGCACTGCAAAGAGACATCTGGAGCATTGAACTGGAGCTCACCAGGTTGCAGGGAAGCCCCTGAAGTTCAACAGATGCAAATGCAAAGCCCTTCACCTGGGATGGATGTGCCCCAGGGGTTAGAAAGCAGCTTTGTTGACAAAGTCTGGCAGCAAGCTGGCAGAGGAGTTGAAGAGGAGTCAGCAGCGTGCAGCTACAGCAGAGGTGGTCAACCAGCTCCTGGGGGGTGCAAGACCACAGCCAGGAGGTCTGGGGAAGGGATCCCACTCCTCTGCTTGGCACCTGCCAAAGCATCCCTGGGACTCAGAATGGGCTCTCTGGGACCAGAAAGGCACCAAGGCACAGTGAGTCTAGCAAGACAGCCAGAGGCTGGAGCATGGGGTTCCTCAGCATGTGAGGAGAAGCTGAGGCTTCTCAGGGAAATCATCTGGCCATCTCCAGTCACCTAACGAGATGTTACAGGGAAGATGGAGCCAGACTTTGCTTTGGAGCAAAGACAACCCCCTTGTACTGTCCCTTATCACTATTCTGCTGCTCGCTTAACGAACTGGAAACACGTGGCTTTCTGTGATCAATGAGATAAAGCACGACACAAACCGCATCAGGACCCCACATGAATATTGCACAAGTAGCAGGAGGGAAGGAAGAGGATTTCTAGTCCCCAGGGCCCTCTCGGCCCCAGCACACTGTCGAGGAGCCCCCAGTCCCTGGGAAGGACGGCTCCAGACCGTGTCACCAGGTGGCTCACTGGCGAGGGAAGCCCTGTCATCGGCCATGGAAGGGTACAGGGGAAATGAGCTGCAGGGGTTTTGTGCCAGGAGAGGTTTAGATTGGATATTAGGAAAAATTTCTTCCTGGAAAGAGTTGTCAGACATTGGAACAGGCTGCCCATGGAGGTGGTTGAGTCACTATCCCTGAAGATATTTAAGAGGCATGTTAAGGCACTTGGGGACATGGTTAATGGTTGGATTTGGTGATCTTAAAGGGTCTTTTCCAACCTAAAAGATTCTATGAAATCCCCCTCCTCTGACACACAAGCACAGCTGCAATGGGCTTCACACCGTGCAGCAATCATCCCCAAAACACACCACACCAGGAGAGAACAAGGCTCCTCACCTCCAGGCCCATAAGGAGGAAAAGTGTCCAGACTTTCCCCACAGCATCACCACTCAGCTGCGATTCTGCTTCCAGCCTCACACTGCTGCAACCAGCTGCTCCTTGCCCCTCACCTGCCCCAGGCCAGGAGATGCTGCTGCTCTCCTGACCCTCCTGCCTTTCTCTGGGCACCTTGTCCCACGTGTCCCCTCCGCAGAGGAACAGCGCAAGGTTAAAATGCCACCACAGCCCCCAGCCGTGCAGGCACCCGGCAGAAGGGACGAGACTCACTAAAACCCCTCTGCTTAGGGAGCCTCCTGCCACCACGCAAAGGCAGTGGCTTTCCGGGGAGGTCAGCTCCAGGTTCCCAGCAGCAGGCAGAGAGGGACAGGCAGCCTGTCTGCCAGTACCCAGGGGACGAGCAACCAGCAGCCCATCCACCAGTACCCAGGGCTCACCCAGCAGGCTTCTCTCTTCCTCCCTCCCCCCACCAAGATTTTCCCGATTGCAGCAAGCGCAGCAGCCCTCCGGCATCGTCACCCAGCCACAAAGGCTGCATTTTACACCCTGCTTCTTGAAATTAAAGAAAACAAGACCAACAACATCCAGAGATGCAGAATAAGCACACAGGGGTTGGGAAAGACAAGCTGCTCAGCAGCGACAGCCTGGTCCACATTTTGGTGACCCCCCCTGCTCACACCTCCTGTTCCAGGCATCCCCTGAGCGGAAGCATTACACCGATCCCAAAGTCAAGGCATTTCAGCACAAACACAGAGCACATTCTCAACAGGTAGCAAAGTAGAGATGTTATTTTTTTAAAAAATGCCTAATGATGGAAATTGGCTGCTCTTACTAAAATCGTCCAGCCACTTTTCAGCCTGAAAACTGACACGCATGAGAGCACAGGAGGGGGGCAGCCCACGCTTGCTCAGACGTACAGGCAGCCTCTCGCTTCCTGATACACTCGAGACACTAGTCCTGGTGAGAGGATGAAGCTCAGTCTGCTCTCGTGCAGCGCTCAGGGAGCCCCAAACAGGAGGAGACCATAGGCACAGCCCTGCAGCTCCTCTCTATGGTCATGTTTATCCAGCCCCTCCTCATCTCCTGCCCACAAGCGTTCCATCTTAGTCTCTCACAGCAATTTGCCAGGGAACTACATGTGTTTCCTTTTGTCACTTAAGATCACTTTCATTTCCATCAAACACACACATGAGAAAGGGAAGAAGCTCCACTGGGGACATTTTTATTGTTTAACCATGACCCCAGTTTAAGTCTCCTGCGAGCCCAGCAGCTCTTTCTCTGCCAAAGCTGTCCTGCCTTCACTTTTCAATCTACAGGACTATATGGCATCCAGGTCAAAGGACCATCCGAGGGGGAGAAACAGCTGCCCTACACTGAAAGGGAACCCCAGCACTACAGTGACAACCCACCCACCACTGCCAGGTCAGTGCCATGGCCAGGTACATGGGTGGTCAAGGTAGCCATGGGTTTGGAGCTCTGGAAAGGTACTCACTCTCCTCCTTTGCTAAGGAAAATGCCATGCAGCACCTTGCCAGCAGCTGGGACCTGAGCCGTCCGCATAACGAAGAGACACGGTGACAACAAATCAGATCGGCAGGGCCGGGTGTCTACCACTGAGCAGCTCTGCCATAGGGGACCCAGGCATTTCTCCAAAGCCACCAGCAAAACTCACACCCACGAGATCTGGTTAATCCCTATTTTAACACCCTTCAGACCCGCAGAATTCACCACGTGGTCATTACAGACAACCCGTGCTGTAAATACACGGGGTCCTGTGTACCAGCTGGGAAGGTTATCTTTATTTTCACACCAGAACAGCTGCAACAGCGCAGGGAACTCCTTCCAGCCACCCTGCCCTTCTCCTACAGCACCACACTAGGCACTTCCAGCTTAACAAAGCCTGCATTTCCCTCTAATTAGCCAGTGTTCTGACTTGCCCAGGAACAGGGCAACACAAAACCGTGCTCAGCAAGGCATCCCTGCTAACAGCTGCCAAAGGCTGGCACCACTCCTCCTCCTCTAAGCTCAGGTCTCCCAGCAGACTCTTCATAGGAAATTCGAGGACGTCATCCTGAGTTAGCCCCTCTCCCACCCGGCACTGTCACGGAAGCGCCCCAAGGACCCAGCTCAACATTCGGTGCTGGCCACAGCCTTTGCCCAGCACAGCCCACCCAGCCACAGCTTTGCTGCGTAACAGGCACGGAGTGCCTCAGCCAGAGCCACGCCATGCTTCAGCTCTCCACGCACGCGGAGGAGCCTGCCAGGCAGACTGCCCAATTAACAGCCTCCAGGTAAACTGGGGAGAAGTTTCTCTTAAGTTAATTACCCAAAATTAATTTGCAAGAAGGAATTGGTCTCGCTGTGTTTGTAACACGTCCCACCCTGGATCAGCTTTTTGCCAGCGTAGTTCCACCCGTACCGCGTGACATCCACGACCAGTGTTGGACACTGTCACGTCTGAGCCCGACCTGCTGGTTTGGGCAGCAGCAGCGTGCTGGGCAATGAGCTCTCTCACAGAACAACATTTTTAGGAGAAATGAAGTGG